ACAATGCTGGGGGAGAAGACAAAGAATCTGGTAAACAAAACATGCCGGACTCCTCCCTCTCCTCCCTCACTGTTTACTACCGAAATTTTCTCCCCTTCGAATGTTCTGCTGCAGCTGGGGTTCCCAATCCGTGTCCATACTGTCCCTGACCCTTGCCACCATTTCAAGGGAAAACTTTCCCTTCACCCCTGAAGTTTCGCTGAAAATCACTGATCAGAGCCAGTGATTTTAGGATTAATCAGATTAATAGGAAAAAATGTATATGGATTTGTTTGATCATCGTTTTATGTGGCATGGGAGCCTTCAGAATGAAGATGCAAACACGCAGGGGAATTGTCCGTTTTTATGATTAGGTTCAACATAATCGACAGTATGTAGCAGTATGATCAGACAAAAAGGGAAGGTTCTAATGCTAGTAGGCGGAGCAGGGAAACCCAGCAAGGCCTGTCTAGATTCTTCTTGGCCTCTCTGAGCAGCGTTCCTCCTTTCTTCTGGGTGTTGGGCAAGGCCCTCTCTGGAGTAGGGGTCTTATGACCTATAGTCAAACTAGGTAGGTCATGTAATTTCCTTATGGCTAGTTTTTCCACAGAAAGGCAGGGGTAGGGGAAAAGTTAGTGTAATATTTTAGGTTTTAAGGCTGAGTTTGGGGAAAGAGGTTCTAGTTTCTATGACCTGCCTTGGGGAAGAGGGGTGCTAGTTTCTATGGCTAGCCTTGGGGAAAATGAGACAGAGACAGGAGCGCAGAAGGTCAGAGAAAAACTTGCTTCTGGGGCTGCTTCTGAGGCCTTCATTTTGTGGTATTGTTTTGTGATTCCCAACACCACCCACTTTTCCCCAAAACTCAACAGAAATAATCAGGGGCAGCCTGGCTCTGGGTAAGGTGTCTTGAGGCTGGTCTTTCAAACGTGACACTGAGTTCTTTTAGGGTGGTTCTCAACCTTGGCTGTGTCAACAGAAAAGAAGCCAAACTCTGTAAAATAATTTAAAGAGGTTTATTCTGAGCCAAATTTGAGGACCAGGGCCCGGAGCCACGCCCAAGAAGCCTTGAGCAAGTGGACTCGCTGTGGTTGGGTCACAGTTTGGTTTTATACATTTCAGGGACACAGGGGTTACACATAAAGTCATAAATCAACACACGGAAGGTGTACATTGTTTGGCCCAAAAAGGCAGAACATCTTGAATGGGGGGAGCTTACAGGTTTAGATGGGTTTAAAGATTCTTTGATTTGTAATTGGGAAAAGAAATGAATGAAGCTTTGTCTAAAGGCTTGGAATGTTTTAAGGTAAGATAAGGAAGTCGGCTAATCAGAGACAAGCCACCAACTGTAAACCCAGACTCAAGTCATTTGTTACATAAATTGAGGACCTGCAGGTTTGTTCTGTTAATGAGTTACAAAGGATGTCTACAAGAAGGGAGGGGCATGACGAAGCATGTCTGACCTCCCTTCTCCTGGCCAGCAACTCAGTTTTAGGGTATCGCCTTGGCCAAGAGCGGGTCCATTCAGTCAGCTAAGGGGGAGCTTAAGATTTTATTTTAGTTCCCAGCTGCATATTGGAATCACCCAGGAGCTTTAAGAAATATTGCTGCCTGGGGCCCACCCCAGAGATTCAGATTTAGGAAGCCTTCTGTGTATGAGAAGGTTTTTAAACATCCCCAGGTGCTTCTACTGTGCATCCGAACTGAGAACCACTAGCTTTACAGCAAGGACATTTTCTTGCATTCTTTCTGCATTTTCTTGAATTTTTTCTGCATTTTCTTTGCATTTCTTTGCATTATGGATTCTCAATTAGTTTATCAAACAAATAAAAAGGAAACCTACAAATGCTTGTCAAAGCCTGCTGAAGGGCCGGGCGCAGTGGCTCACGCCTGTAATCCTAGCTCTCTGGGAGGCCAAGGCGGGCAGATTGTTTGAGCTCAGGAGTTGGAAACCAGCCTGAGCAAGAGCGAGACCCCGTCTCTACTAAAAATAGAAAGAAATTAATCAGACAACTAAAAACACATAGAAAAAATTAGCCGGACATGGTGGCTACATGCCTGTAGTCTCAGCTACTCGGGAGGCTGAGGCAGAAGGATTGCTTGAGCCCAGGAGTTTGAGGTTGCTGTGAGCTAGGATGACGCCATGGCACTCTAGCCA